CTGCGCTGTCCCCTTTCCGTGCACCGCCGATGTCTGCCCGGCACCGGGGACGCGTTTGCAGCGCAGCAGATCCCCATCCCCAGGCACTGGGTTTCGGTGGCACCCTGAGCAGCACTGGACCGACAGCAGCGCTTGGAGAGGGAGCAGCGAGGCTGCGCGGTGGTAGATGTGGCTGTAGTCTTATAGAATAGACTCAGAAAATCGTTTGGGTTGGAAAAGCCCTTTAAGATCATCAAGCCCAACCCTGCCATCCCACCCCCAAGCCCTGGCCCTCAGCACCGCGTCTGCCCGGATGTTAAATCCCCCCAGGGGTGGGGACTCGACCCCTTCCCCGGGCAGCCCCTTCCAGTGCCTGACAGCTCTTTTGGGGAAGGAATTGTTCCCAATGTCTACTCAAAATTGCCTGCTGTCCCTCCTTTTGAAACGCGTAGCTGCGCAGAGCAGGGTCCAACACATACTCGCCAGCTGGGAGAACGAGTGGGGGCAATGGGATAAAACCCACCCAAACCCCACGCTCTTCTCACACAGCCGCGTCTTGTCCACCTCCCTGTCTTCAGGGCACAGCGTGTGCGTCCCAGGCGAGCGTGCCTCCTTGTGCTCTGGCCATGGCCCAAGCACCAGATGTTGACAGCAAGGCGATGGGGTGTCAGGCTGTGCCCTCCGCATCATGGGTGTGTTTTGAAGCCTGCCAAAGCTGTCTTTGCAGCCATAGTGCTATATAATCCCATTCCTGAATTCCTCAAGCCCTCTGTGGACACCAGACCGATGCAGGTGTTTCATCCCATGACATGATGGAGATGTTTTGGCTGATGGTGCCAGTGCAGCCTGTCCCAGAGTCTCAGCTTTGCTGGTTAAACCTCCTTCCTTGCCAGCATGGTCATTTCACCCCAATATATTCTTGTGCTTGGTTTTTTTTTTTTTTCTTCCAACTGAAATACTGCATTCACCACTGAGAGGTGCTTTTTGTCCAGAGGAGCTTGTTTTCTAAAGAGACGTCGTGAAGAGTGGTTGGGACAAATTAATTTTGGTACTCTGGATTTGTAACTGGGCGGTGGGAGCTACAGAGACACTGTGCACTGGGGGGAGCACCCAAAGGTGTTGTGCCCCCACGTATTTGACTTTTGATCCCTGCCTGCCTTGTTCTCCAGCACTGGTGTCACAGGTGGAAGCCCTGAAAGAAGAAAATGACAGTCTGCGCTGGCAGCTGGACGCCTACCGGAACGAGGTGGAGCTGCTGAAGCAGGAGCAAGGCAAAGCGAGCAGGGATGACGACACGACCAAGGAGCAGCAGATGAAGCTTCTCCAGCAGGCTCTGCAGGGGATGCAGAAGGTGGGTCTGGACTTTTCTATAGCTATGGCCCTGCTACTAAAGCAAAGGGGCGGTGATGTGGACCAGAAACACAAGCAAAGGCATTTTGGTTTTCAGTGGGATCAACACTGGCAAATGGGAGAGACTTTCTGTCATTTCCAGTGTTGCCAAAACACCCCCCAACCAGCCAAACATTCAAACCAGTGATTGTGTGTGAGCTGCTAGGCCACGTGGAAACAATCTGTAGTTTGTGGATTCCTCGTGTGCTCTTTGCTTGACCACACTGTGACTTCTGCGGTACCGAGTCTGTGCTTACCCGCTCCGTAACCTGGTGAGGTACTGGTTACCAGCATGAGCCAGGAAGTGGGGAATCCCAAGCATGCTTTGGCACCTTTTCAGAACTTTACTGGGCTTTCCTTCTCATGGAAATGTGTGGGGCGTGTCTTGTTCTTTGGGATTTCCCTGGGCTGAATAGCGAGTGGTTTGGGTCCCTGTAAACCTTAACAGTAGCCCTTGGGATATGAAGGCAGGGGGATAACCAAGCGTATAGAGCATATTGTCATAGTTCAGGTAAGCACTTGGTTAAACTAAGAGCCTGAAGCAATGCTGTGGAGGCCACGGCCGTTCTCTGGCTGAGCCTGACACATGCACTGACAGTGCTGGTGTTCCTGATGTGGGAGCTGGCAGGAAAACCCTTCCATAGCCACCGCCAGCCTTCAGCGCGGGAGGAAGCAGCAGGAACTGCTGGACATAACAGATTTCCCCTGTCGCAGGTGTCAGGCAGGTCAGGCTTCTCTTTACGCCGCTACCAGGATGCATGGTGCTGGGAGAATACTCTGGAGGAGCTGCCTTGATGAAAGAAGATGCTGTTTGTTTGTAACTGTTCATTAATAGATTATGAATCTCTTTGTTCTTTTAGTTGAGGGGGAAAAGTATTAAACCACTGATTAAGGGTGTTTTAAGCATGGAAGAAAGCATTCACTGAAATATATATATATATTTATGTCTCTTGGTCTGAATTAGGAAGCTGCTAGGCTAGTGCCGGGAAGGCAGGTGAGTCTGAAAACTGAACTGAACAGCACGGGCAACAGAGGAAAAGCGTGATTGATCTCCCATTAGAGCCAGAAGGAAGCAGTGCTCAGCAGACTGGTAACATACTGGGCCTCCCAGACATAGGCAAGATCAGCAGGAGGAGCGAGGCTTAAACGCTAACGTGGACTCATTCACGAGTACAGACTTGCTCTGAAAGCAGACTGCTATACCCACGGCCGCAGCTTGGCAGGCACCAGCCTGGGCTTGAGGCTTCCCCTCTGCTCCCCTCCGCGGCGTGGGCTGTGAGTCACTGCCCAGCCTTCCTCCTGCGCTCCGCCGGTCGGGGCAGCGCACGGCGTGCGGTGCCGTTTGTGGCAAGCACCCTGCCCAGCCGGGAGCAGTCATCGCGTGTTTCTGCAGCGTGGGATTGTGCAGATCTCCTTACCTTGGAGCTGTGTCAGGGTGTTTCTTCTTGCTCTGTACTTACCCTTTTAATTGTTCTGAACATGACCTGTCTGGTCTTCGTGGAAAAGCCCTTTTATTCATTTTATGTTTTTTAAGAGTAGGAGGTGAAAGGCAGGCTAAGAACGGAGTTTGTCTTTTCTATTCCAGCATCTTTTGAAGGTACAAGATGAATACAAAAAGAGAGAAGCCGAGCTAGAAAAAGTGAGAGAAGACAAACTGAAAATAGAAACCTTATTAGAAAGCCTGAAGGAGCAGGTATGTGCCACCCCGGGGCCTCCTTACTCTCAGTAGTAAAAGCAGTCCTTGGCTTCCGTGGCCCATCGCGGGCGCAGTGGACAGGCTGCAGGAGATGCCTTTGGAAAGGCTGCCGGATTGGAAGCTGTACGTCAGTAAGGAACTTGCTGATTGCTTCCTGTACCTGTGACACGATCTGTGTAAGCGACTGTATAAATAAGATGAGCTTTCATTTTACAGCGTACAGTGGTATTGCAGTTGAAATGTGGTTTTACTGCAACCTGAGCTTTAAAAGATAAGAAAGGGTCTCAGTTACCGAAGTTGGGTTTTTAGATTTGCAGTTTAGGGATATGTGTTGGTCTGACCTCCATAAAATGCTATGGGATGGAAAGTTTTTGTCAGTGTTACAATATTCTTATGCTTGCTGGGTTTATTCTAAACATAAACACCTACTGCTTTCCTCAGGTGTGATCCACTCTGTCTTTTGACTGTGGACCCATGCACGGATCTAAACCTGCTTGGTCCTCTCCTCTGTGGCACAGTCACAACTATACAGGCTGGATGAGAAACGTTGCGCAGCACTGCTCACCGAGGAGCACAGAGCCCAGTCCTCAGTCTTGGCTCAGATTTTCAATCTTTAGCCCCACCTTTTTGTGCCATGAGCTGGGAAGACGATAAATGTCCTTCTAGTAATTAGAAATGGCTTTGTGTCCCCGTAATCTTCAGTGCAGGAGCCTCAGTGGAAATAAGGCTATTGCCAGTAATCTTTCCTTTTCTTTACCTCTGCGTAGCAAAGCATGGCAGATGAAGAGGACAAGGAGAGGGACGCAGTCGATTGTCAAGGGAATGTAAGTCTAAGAGTTTCTTTTCTGCTACGTTAGTCAGAATATCTTAGCGAAGGCAGTAACACACCTCACTGTAAAACGAGCAATTTTTTAAAGCTTGGTTTGTTGTGAAGTGTGTAAGCGTGGTACGTGCAGAATCTCTCTGTGCACCAATTAAAATCATCAAGTCCCTGTGCCAGCCTGAAGCCAGCTCCCTTTCCACAGTGCAGACCTTCACTTTCTCCTGCCGAAGCAAATTATAGCTTGCTTAGGCCAGGACTGCACAGATTCAGGCCTGTGTAGTTGGGAATTGCACTGGCGTAAGGAGCTGAGCAAACCCAAGGACCGTTTAATTCTGTCTTTGTTGCTGGCCTGAGTCCAGTCCAGTTCATGGTGACTGGAGGCTGTTTCCAATTATAGCTGCCTGTGGCTCTCAGGCCACTGGAATTCTGCATAAAACTTAAGAATAAAGGAAAGTTCTGCTTTTAGTGCACCCACCAAGTCCCTGCATCGCTGGCATTCTTGTGTTTGTTTTGGGGATAACAAATTATCCAAAATCCTGTTTTAATTCAGTACCACAAACTCAAGTCAAGGACAGTCTGAGCCTAAACCCTTTGCAGCCGTTGGGCACTCGGTTGATCATCTTGCCTCGGTTTACACGTCTGAAGAGTAAACATCTCCATTGGAATGAGTCGCTGCTTCTTTCTAGTCTGTTTTTTCTTTTATTATTTAAAATAAGGTCCTTCTAGAGCAGACACCATAGCAGTGAACAGGCTGATACCGAGTGTGTTGTGGCCTCTTGCTTGACCTCAGGGGCTTTTAGTCTAACGTGGTAGTTCCAACGCAGCGGCATGAACGTGGCTGTCCTCTGTTGGCAGCGTTCTGCAGCGTAGACAGCAGACGCAGCGACGCGATGAGCGCGGTGGCTCTCAGAAACGAGCCACCGCTTGCTGTGCGAGTGCCTGCCGCCCGGCTGGTGTGTGGAATGGGCCCGCTGGGGTTTTTTGCAGGAGAGCAGCACGTCCAGAGTTTGTGCATGCAGCCAGGAGAAGGAATGTCCGGTTGAGAAGACATTGAGCAATAGTCCTGTGAAATCCGAACGAGAAGTTCTCTTAGTAGGTAAGTTCTTCCGATGGGCTTGGTGACGATGCTGGAGACCTGAACTGAGTGGGACTTAGTTCAAGGTGGCCTCGCAGCTCCTGCTGGCTGCCTCTTGTTCCTTTGGCTATGCCAGTGGCGGGCGGGAGTCCTGGAACCAAGGAAAGCCTCGAGCTTTGGTGGGGTCAGGGTTCCACCTCGTGAACAAGACTTCCACACGAGCAATGCAGTCAAAACCACACAGGCAAAGGGGGCTTGTGTGTAGTGACGGTCCGGGTCAGCACGTGCTGGAGTGCGAGTTGCTCTCCTGGGAGGCATCGCTGAAGGGGGTGAGTTACAGAGGAGGGTCTGCCTGCCTTCGCTTAGAGCCTGATCAGCCTTCAGGATCCTAAGCAGCGTCACAGGCTCTTAAGACTTTAATCGGCTTGAGCACTGCAGCACCTCACAGCGTGGATGATGTTTGTGGACCCACGCAGCAGTCGGGCGCACCGTTAGGTCAGGCATGGTGTGCCACCAACCCCGAGCAGATGAGCTCTTCCAGCTTTAGGAGCTGTAGCCAGGGAGGAAGGAAGGGTGGAGAAGAGTGGCAGGGAGAGAAGGCCAGGCTCACTGGGATGAGAAATATTGCAGCGTTTTCAAGTGATGCTCGCGAAGGGATTGGCCACCTCCGATTTACAGCACAGGTGTACCTGCTACCCTTCTTATTTCCTTTCCTCTTGCCTATTCCTCGTAATATTGAAAAATAACCTAACGTGGGATTCTGTAGCTTTCCAGGCCAAAGCACGGGGTAGCTGGGAATTTTCTGGAGCATTGAGAAGAAGGAACAGAAGTCTGTGTCTTGGTGGGACAAGACATTGTCACTCAGACACGTTCTCCTTAGCCATCCCTCTACATCTGATTTGAGACTAACAGTAGATCATTTATCGTTACCCAGATGGATCTGTTTGTGCCAGATCATGGGCTGGTTCCTCAATTGAGAGGGAAGGGGTTTTGGGGAAAACCAAAGGCACAGCCTCTTTCTGCAGATGATGGTCAGGCA